TATCAGCATGCAAAGTTGCTACAATATCTTATCTAAAATATCCAGTGTTTAATGAGAAGTTACAAAACATAAAAAGAAGCAAGGAAGTATGACCCATACTTGTGGGAAAAAACCCAAAAAACAAAAAATGGTTAGTAGAATCTGTCTTTGAGTGTACCCAGGTGTTGTATTTAGCAAACAAAGACTTCAAAGCAGCGAGTGTAAATACTTAAAGGAAGTAAAGGAAACCATACATAAATAACTCAAGGAAAGTGTAATTACAATAACTGAATAAACACAGAAACCCAATAAAGAGCTAGAAATTATTTAATTTAAAAAAAATGGAAATTTTGCCATTGAAAAGTACAATGGCAAATAAAAAACTCACTGAGAAACGTAACAGCAAATTTGAGGTGGCAGAAGAAAGAATCAGTAAACTTGAAGATGCATTAATAGCAATTACATGATCTAAAGAACAAAGAGAAAAGAGACTGAAGAAAAATGATCCATGAGACATTATCAGGCACACCAACATATGTGGAAAAAAGAGTCTCAGAAAGAAGGAAAAAAGGGGGAAATACTTGCAGAAATAATAACTGAAAACTTACCACATTTGACTTAAAACAGTAATCTACAAAGTCGACGTTTACCCTTAGTAAAATGAAAACAAATATATCCACTCCCAAATACATCACAGTCAGACTGTGAAAAGACAGAGTCTTGAAAGCAGCAAGAGGAAAAAAAATTCTCTCGTTCAAAGGATCACAATAAGATTAACCACTGACTTCTGATCAGAAACAATGGGGGAAGGCAGTGAGATGGCATATCTAAAGCTTAAAGAAAAAAAAAAGTCACCTGAGGATTCCATGTCCAGAAAATCTTCCCCTTAAAATGAAGGAAAATTAAAGAAATTCCCAGATAAGCAAATACTAAAAAAATACTAAAAAATGTGCTGCTGGCAGTCCTACCTAAAAAGAAGTACTAAAGGAAGGCCTTGGAACTGAAAGGAAAGGAATGCTTGATTCTTACATATGAAAATACTAGATTGATTTGTCAAAGGGAGTGGGTCTGGATGTGTGTGTGCCTACAGAATATTCCAAAATTTCTTGTGCAGTTTAACTTTTATTGATTTAAGAAGTGAAAATACTGGAAATGTATAAAAACATCCTTTGAAGCTTTCATTATTTCAATTTTTTATACATATTTAGCCTCATGCATTTTGTATATCTTAAGTTGCTCTAGCTGAAGATAGTAAAGATTAATTGGAACAAAAAATTATAAAAATTTTATTCAACTAAAGCTAAAGTGTAAAAGAAATTTAAGTTCTATGTCCAAGTTGATGCAGGGCACGAACATACTATGTGAAAAAGTTGAGCCTGCAGGTAGAGGAGATCCTGAGAATAATGATCACTGGGAAGTAACAAAAACTTCAGGGCCAACTCCAAATTCTCAAAAACTATGAAATTGATGGAGCTCAAGCAGAAATCTCTGAGGAAGCAGATAATATCTGGGTTTGAGGGAGAAAGAATTGAAAATTGATGTAGGTTTATCTGGGACAGGTTGAGCAGGTGGAGTTGGAAGGAGGGATCTAGGAGGCGTATTCAAAAGCTGAATTGAAAAAAAAAATTGTCAACCAAGGATTTCATGTCCAGAAAAATCTACCCTTTAAAATGAAGGAAAAATAAATCCCCAGATAAAGACTTGGAGGGTGGAGTAGGGAACCACTGGGCTGGTGGTGGGGGAGGGGCTGTGATTCAGCCTCTTCCTCTTTTTGCCCCTCCCCCCAGGAGCCCTTTGTGAAGAGGTCACAGCTCTGTGATGCAGGCCTGGGCTCTAGAACCAAAGGCAACTCCCAGAGCTCAGTGGCCTGGGAGCAGCAGTGTGATTCAGAAGATGCAGAATCTCCTCTCTCAATAGTGTTAGAGCCACATGGCTGAGCCCCAGCTCTACTTCCTGGGAGGTGGACATCACCCTTGTCTTCCTGGGTGGCCCGGGGCACTTCCTCCTCTTACCCTGCTGTATCCAAAAGGATCCATCCTTACCTCTACCAAGAAAAAAGAAGAGCATGAGGAAGGTAAGCAAACCTCTGCCCAGACCCAACAGACAGTGATTCTCTCTTTTCTTCCTGTTACTATTTCCACTCCTCCAAATCTCAGGAAAGACTTGAATAGTATCCTTCTAGGGACAGACAGGGCAGGCCAGGGGTGAGAGTGGGCACTAGGATTTCTGTCCAAAGCTCTCAGACCAGCTGTGCTGCTCAGCTGGAGGGGCCGGGGCAAGGTCAAACACCGAGACTCAACTCTGTGGCCTAGAATGGGATTGCTGAGAGCTGAGATCTCCATGGGAGGACAGGCCCTGAGCACTGGCTCATCAGTCCCTTCCTGTGGCAGGCGCCTTGGGCCAAGTCTTGTCTCTGTGTTGGGCTCTTATGAGGTCCTTCCTGGGCCCCTGACAGCCTCCCATCAGAGGCTGGAGGTGACTCCAGCCTTGGAAGGCAGAATCCTACCTGACAGCTCAGATCCAGGCTTAGCCTGTGGGTTTCCAGAGGAATTGAGGACATCCACAGTGGATCTCATGTAGAAAATCCCTCTTTGCATTTTTCATGGAAGGAAAACAGGAATTATTTTTGTCCATATTAAAAATGAGTAAAAGGCAAGAAAATAGCACAGGGCTCTGTCAGCTAACTGTAGAAAGTCGTGTTGTTCGTGAACACTGTGTGTCTGCAGCTTGTCTAGGGGGAGGAGAGTGAGACTCGGGTCCCAGACGTCATTCTTTCTTGTCTGTCAGCGTCAGGTGGAGATGAGGGGCAGCAGGAGCAGGAAGAGAACCTCTCTGCAAGGGAAGGCTCTGCCCTTCTGCTGGAGCCCTGGAGGTAACTTGACCTCACAAGTTCCTGAGCGACAAGGGCCACTTCTATGAGGATGTCCTCACAGAGGCCTGAGAGGGAGGGTTCTGGGAAGGAGATCAGAATCTGGGGTAACTCTCAGTTTCTGTGCTGGGAATGAAGCCACAGTGGACCAGGGAAGGGGTGTTGCCCAGCAGGGCTGTGGGGGGAGGAGTGGACCAGTGGAGGTGGGACCTCAGGTGGACATGCTGTTTAATGTTGCTAAGGTTGATTCCTCTTTGGGATGACCCCATCCTTCCTCCCTCAGATGGCAGTTGTGAGGGCCATGGGGTGCTGGATATAGAAGCACTTTGTAAATGACAAAGCGCTGGCCATCCATGTGCCTTACTCTCACTGCCTGGGATCACATGGTCTTGGATGCTGATACTGGGGACCCACGGTCTCATCTGCTACAGTCTCACCTAAAGGGACATTCCACTAAGCCTCCTATAAGATTCCCCAGGCCCTTCCCTCCACCATAACTGAGTCTCCTGATTTCAGCCTGTAGAGATGGCCTGGGGGAACTGAAGGAAGCGCGGGGCCTGATCTCACATCTGCAAAGGTGAGGAACTTTCCCCTTCTCTCCCATGTCCTCCTTCCTACCAGGGCCTATGATGTGACTTCAGGGCCTGGGACTGACGTGGGAGGGGGGACCAAGGAAGGGGACTAGATGTGACTAAAGCCCTGGGGCAGAGGCTGCAGGAGCTGTGTGAAGTCAGCGCATGGGCAGTGGACGGGCCATGGGTGCAGGTGCCACTTCTGGCCCATCTGCTCCTGGCTGCAGCATGTGTCTCCTGTCTCCTGCAGCCACCTGATGGAAATCCCCGATCCTCTGGGTGAGGTGTGCAAACCAGCACCTGCCAGAGTCCAGCAGCCATGCAGGGAGCATGTGGAAGACGCTGGTCCCATCACCTTATCCCCAGTGGATGCCCCAGCTCCTCTGGATGAGTGTCCTCTGCCTGTGGCCTCCACCCTATCACCAAGCCCAACAACCTCCCTGGTTTCTTTTGGTTCACATTTACCCCTGAGTGCCTCTGGACCACCAGAGCCTTTGCTCCCACTAGGCCTCCTGTCCCCCCAGCCACTTGCACTTGTTCCTCCCTATCACAACCCCCGGACCCTGTGGCCTCCCATCTGCCTCCAGCAGTCTTCATTCTGGCTATTTCTCAGTGTCACTCAGTGGCACTCCTTCTGGGCTCCATCCCACAGAGCTTGTGTCTACACAGTAGCTGCTGGTTGACTTCTCCTGTCCCAGTGATCTTGAGCGTTGGTCACCTGAGTTGTCCAATCCCAGCCCTCTCCTGGTGGCAAGTGGCTGCCAAGGCCTTGTTCTTCCCCCACCTTATCACACAGCCAATCCCAGCAAGAACATCTTTCCCTCCACCTACCAGAGGCCTCGTTCTGGGGAGACCTCGTACATTGGCAGAGGAGGCTGATGGCCTCACTTTGGTCAACTCCAGTCTCCAGAAGCTTTTGGTCATACTAATTGCCAGGACAGCAGAACTGAATTTTTGAAAGGAAAAAGAAAAGGAGGAATCAGACTATCCCTTGGATTCACTGGGGAATACATTAAAATCACTGGGTGATGAGTGGAACGCCAGAACCCCACAACCTTTCTGGAGCAAGAAAGACAAACCAGAGCTTGCTTTTCAAAGCTTTCCCAGTCCCCAGCAGCTCTCGCTCTCTTACCCCAAGGTCTTAGAGGTCCACTTACAGCAGAAATGCAGCCAGCTCTTCTGGGGCCTCTTCTTTCTGTACCGTGAGTCTCTGGTGGCTACAATCAGAGTCTCTGGTCCCCAACTACAGTTTCTCTCTGTTTTATTCAATGAACTCTCTAATTACTTTCAGGTACAAATTCAGACTCAAGTGTCTCCACAACTTTTTCAGCCCCAGTTCTGGTCCCCCCACGTGGCCCAACTCCAACCTCTGACTTGAGCCCCGCCACTGTCCAAGCCTTCACCTCTGCCTCAGATCCAGAGCCAGCCCCATACTTCATCCTGTCTCCCCATCCCACCATGCTACTCACCACAGATCGTGGTCCGGGGAGCACCTTGCCCCACAAACCAGCAGAGGGCCCAACTTCTTACCCAACTTCCATCCAACACATGCAATGTCACCTTTTGAAGAGGGAACAAGATTTACCCTGTGTGGTCAAGAAACCTCAGGAAGCCTTTAGCCAACTCGCTCCCAACAGTAGGGCCTTCCAGGAACATGAGTCAGTCCCCGCCTCTCAGGAGACTTCATCAGCCCTGAGCTCTGGGAGCACCTAGAGCAACACCTTCACCAGAGGTTGATTCAACATTGCTGTGGGCTGTCCTGCAGGCTCCATGTGTCACCAGACCTGATACATCTCTGGACCTTCACCAGAGGGTCACTCAGCACTGCTGAGGGCTGCCCTGCAGACCCCACGTGTCTCCACACCTGATACATCCTCAGGATCTTCACCAGAGCATCAGTCAGCACTGCTATGGGCTGCCCTGTAGGCCCCATTTGTCTCCATACCTGATACAGCCTCAGGACCGTCACCAGAGCATTAGTCAGCACTGTTGCAGGCTGCCCCACGGGCCCCACGTGTCTTTGCACCTGATACATCCTCAGGACTTACACCAGGTGGTCACTCAAGGCTGCTGTGGGCTGCCCCATGGGCCCAGTGACTCTGCACCTGATACAACCTCAGGACCTTCATCAGAGAGTCACTCAACACTGCCGCGGGCTGCCCCGCAGGCCTCACGTATCTCCAGACCTGATACAGCCTCAGGACCTTCACCAGAGGGTCACTCAGCACTGCTGCGGGCTGCCGCAAAGGCCCCACGTGTCTCTGCACCTGATACAGCCTCAGGACAAATTCCCAGTCACTGGTCAGGCAACGCACAAGCATGGACCCTCTGTGTTTGAAGGTGATAGCAGCCAGAACATGCAGAAAATGGGACCCATGAGTCCAGCCATGTTATGGTTCGTGAAGATCTCAGTCAAGTATCTGAGGCACTGTCTGGGGAGTGACCTAGAAGATCTACCCAGGGCTTTGTAAAGCAGCTTAAGGAAGGTTCTAGGGACCAACTCTGAGAAAAAGTCAGAAAGCGACTGGATGAGGCCATTGAGAAGTAACTCAGGAAAGGATTTACAAGGAGCTCAGACAAGAAGCATCTAGAAGACATTCAGACAAGAAACATCTAGAAGAAACTCAAACACATGGAAACTGGAAATCTAGCATCCTCCGAGGGTGAGGTATCCCATGTGAACACCTCCCAGGAGCTTTCCCTCCTTGACCTGCAGCCATTGGTGCTAGAAGCATGTATTAAAAGTTTTCAGGTGAGGTACACGTGGGGCATGCCCCTCAAGGTCTGCAGGCCCCCAAATATCCTTAAGTAGAAAAAGGCTCAACCCTTGTCCCTTCCTGGTCCTTTTCCCTCATCAGCCACCAGTGAATCTGGGGCCAAATCTGTAGCTGAGGTGGCCAATTTCCCAGGAAAACTCCCTCAGAAGCACCCAAGAGAGAAGGTGATAACAAAAACATCAGTTTCCACCCTGAGCAGTCCTCTCCCTGCCCCTTTACCTGTGTCTAAGGAAGCCCAGAGGTTTGCCTACAAGACAGAGACCTCATCTGGTGACAAGCATGGGCCCTCAGAGGCCCCTCCAACTGGACAGAAGGGCAAGTGGCCTTCTCAGCCCCTCATATGCAATGTCATGGGCATAACCTGGCACAGTCAAATGTGCTAGGGGCCGGGAGAGGCAGCCTAGAGCCGAGTCCAAGTCCAGAAATATCCAGGAATGAGCCACAAAAGCAGAGTGTGAGCAGGACCTCAGGAGACACCAGCCACAGGACAGCAACGCTGGAGAGGAACACAGGACCCCAGTGGTCACGGGCCGAGGAGGCCAGAAAGACAGCGGCAGCCAAGGAGCAGAAGCCCCCTGCTTGGGAAGTCACCTTGGGAGCCAGTGTGATGGCAAACTCCCAAACTGATAATGTCAATCAGAGGTCAGAGTGTGTAGGGGCCAGCAACAGCCCCTCACCCTCTAGAATTTCTGTAACTCAGGATCCAGGAGAGACATGCCTTAAGACCCAGGTTGCTGGTGAGTCTGAGCTCTAAGTGGTGGCAGAGGCAGAGAAGCAGACTCAAGACGGTGCGACTGGAGTCCTCCAAGACCACGGCACTGGGGTGCTCCTTGCTGCAGAAATTTGTCTTCTCAGGCCTCTCTGTCCAGTTCCCAGCGCATGTCCAGGAGCAACACATCGCCTTCCCAGGGGCTATGTGGCCTCTTATGGCGGGGATGGAGCAGCCAGGCGGAGTGGAATCAGAGCAAGATGTCTGGCTCTACTGACAACAGACAGGGCCGCAGGAGGCCCACACAAGGAGAGCATGAACAAAGGTTTTCAGGACTAGGCCACCCTGCCCAGGACAGGGAGTCAATACTGTCCTTAAGTGTCCAGTCCTCCCAGCTCCCGCCAGAGAAGGGACAGGCGTCCCCAAAAAGCCACTTCAGGAAGAGGATCAGGCACTTTCTGCAGTGGGTTTTCCCCAGTAAAAAAAACAAAGGGCAGGAAGATCTTCTGCAAAAAGGCAAGGCCACACCAGCCACTGCCCGCAGTCAGGGACCAGTCCCAAGCAGAGTGTGTGTGGACAATGGGGTGGCTGAAGCCCAGGAGCCCAGGGCCACTGATGGACAGAACGTAGAGGAGAAAATGGGGCTTCACCATGATATTCCTGACTCAAAGGCCCGAGTGGGAGGACGTTCCTGCTACCACAGGGGTCCCTCCTACCCAGAGCAAAGATTGATGAGAAATATGGCCTGCAGTCACCATGCCACCCCCATGAGTCGCAGCCATTCTGTCAAGAAGAGGTGGATCAAAGACAGGTATAGCATTTGGGTCTCACTTCCCAGGGACCATGTGTCCCCAGCCGGTCCCTGCCAGCATAGGCCACAGGTGATGAGAGCCTCAGGCCACGCTGTCCACTTCCATAGTCGCTGTCTTCATCAGAGAGGTGTCTCATCTGATCAAACATCATGTTTCTCACCCCTTTCCCGGTGGGAAAGGTTTTCCCCCAGAAAAACCCATGTCACAGAGAAAACCTGTTTTCCCTCATGTTTGCACACGCTCTGTGTGCTGATGGCTTCTTCTTACCAGGATATGCATTGTTTCCTAATAAAGGTTTTTCCTCCTCAGAGGTACTGGCTCTGTCTGTGCCATGCGGGGCATAGGGAAGGGGTCAGCTCTTCCTGAGTGCAGCTTCTAGAAGGGACTGGGCCTGAGGGAGGCTGCCCGAGGCCTCTTGCAGACCCACCATCACTCCAGTTTCCCTCCACTCACCTTGTTTTCATGACATGGCCACTAACAAAAAGCCTTCAGGACTTGTCAGGATGAGCAAACCATGTGCAGACCCCACCAGGAGGGCGGCTCTCCATCTCCCCTGCTTTCCCTCAACCTTGAACTCAGTGTGCTGTAGGGAACGGGTCCACAGAAGTCTCAGAGGCTGATTCCCCTCGGCCTGGAATGTCAGAGCCACCCAGCATCACCCATCACATAGTGGGCTCTGGGAGTTTGCGGGGGGGTCAGTGCTGGCCCCAAGCCCAGAGGAAGAAATGTGCCCCTGGACCCCTTGGGGGAACAAACCCACTTGCCCAGTTTCCCTTTCTCCCATGATGGTGGGGATGAAGGCAGCCCTGCTGACTCCTCTCAGCTCAGCCTGGTGACATGACATGGCGCGTCACCTCCCTATCCAGAGTGGCAAGAGCATGGGACTCTGGTAGTGCCTGACTCCACCCCTGCCCGGGCCACCTGCTATGTCCCCTGGCGTGACTGTGTGTGAGTGTGTGGTCACATCTGATGGTGGGATAGGGAGGACCGAGGGTGGGATGTGGGGAAAGAAGAACTATATAGCTCAGAGCCAAGGAAGGAGAGGTGTGGCAAACGTCCCACCCTGTCCACTGGCCTGGAGGGGACACGTCAGGGCCACACCCACCCTGCACACCCCAGGGCCCCTGCTCGAACTCCCAGGTCACAGGCCTTGGGAGGCCACCTTCAGCTTGGATGCATAGGGCCAAGCCAGCGACAATAATTTCCCAATGATCCACCTGAGCTCGCCCTGTCCACTGTGATGTCCTCAAAAGGAGATGCTGGCAACGGGACAGCCAGCACCGGGGTCTCGCATCACTCACAGTCTGACCCCCTCTCATCCCCTCATCTCCTTTAGACCTCCACCACTTTGGCGCTGTGGCCTGCACCCTCCCCACTCCCCACCTGTGGAATCTGGTCTTTAGAAGCTGGTGTCCCTGAGCCCCAACAAAAGGAGAGCCTGACATGGTACATCCCCTGCTGCAACCCATCTGTCCCACTGATGGAGTTTTTTATTAGGTGGGAACCATCCAAGGACAAAGCACCATTGTTATTGGTGACATCACCCAGCGTCAGACAAGGGCATCACCCAAGCTATGGATAGCTCCCACCATTAGGGCAATTTAAGGGGTAGGACACTGCTTCTGATACCCAGGCACCAGCAGTGGCAGCTGTAGTAAAGTCCCAAGTGTCAGCCCTCCATGGCCCTGAGGTGATGGCCCTGGGTCAATCACTCAGCGCCCAGTTCACCAGAGTCCATGCCCACGTCTGACCTGGGCCTCTGCTCCAGAGGCCGGGTGCTGATCCAGGGAGCAGCTGGAGTAGGGGGGTGAGCAGAGGATTCGACTGAGTGAACTGGTGCTGAAAAAGGGCTTGAGGATTCAGACTTTCCTTCTGCCCAAAGTTCTGGGCCTTCCTCTGTACGCTCTGGTGTGGTTTGGCCTCACAATGACCGGGAGACTATAACGGGGGAGGCATGATCCAAACCCAGGGCAGTCTGATTCTAGAGCTCTCCTCAGGGAGAGGGAAGATGCTCACCCCAAACCCAATAATATCACCCACATGTGTGTGTCTTCTTGTCCCACCTTTACCCGTAAGCTAGGCACGTTTTTACATAGCCGTAGTTACAAAATGTGAGCAATTTAGGGCTCTACTTTTTTTCACTTAAGAGTTCATAAACCCTCTCCCATGTTCCAAGAGCACCTGCATTGGAGTCAGATCTGAGCTGGAATCCTGAAGTTCCTAGTAGGATGGCCTTACTCTCTTAGTTGAGGTGCCACGTCCCACCACCTCCCCTCCGCAAAGCAGACTCTGAGGCTAGGATTTGAGAGCAAGTTTGTCTGGGAGGACAGCCCTGGAAGCAGTAGCACAGGAGTGTGGGAGTGAGGCAGGGGAGGGAGGGCGGTGAGACACTGTGGGCAGCTGGAGCCCAGTCTCACAGGGGACCGCTGGGAGGTGGTGTGGCACACGCCCCAGAGTCATCCCCCCCCCCCGCCTAAGGTGAGACACGGGGGTATCTATCCCTCAACTCGGACCTTCATTAACTGAAGGGTGCTTGTAGAGATGTCCACTTGGGCTGAGCTGCAGCTCTATGCATGGGGAGAAGCCACTGGAGTGCTGGGGAACAGGGTGCCCAGGGGAAGTGACAGGCGCCAATAGCATCTGCGGCATTTGGCCAACCTGTGTGATCGGGTTCCTCGCCTGTAAAATGCAGAGAAGATCGCCATCCCTGGGGCTGTGGTGAGGGGCAAGCAAGATCAGGGACGGGAAAAGGCTTCAGGGTAGGTGTAAGTTTCTCACGTGCATTAGCAGTGAGAAAGGGGGCTGAGCCTCACCTTCTCTGTGACGGTGCCCACAGTAGCAGGCACAGGGCTGGCGCCTACTGAGCTCAAGACATGCCCTCAGTTCCCTAACATGAGCAGCAAGTCTGTCTGCCCAACTCAAATGCCACTTCAAGGACAGTCCTCAGTAAGGAGGCCTCCCTTCTGGAAACAGCATGCTATTTTTGGCAAAATGCTCCTCTGCCATGCCCAGGTGCTGTTCTAACAGGGCCGCCCATCAGAGTCAGAGCAGGAAGGGCTCCAAGTTTGAATCTCCACCCCAGAGTAAGGGAGACAAGGAGGGGTCTAAGCACAGGGACAGGCTGAGAACTGAGCTTTGGCCCATGGGCTGCAGGGTGGTGAGGAGAGAAGGCTCATAGCCAGGGTGCTCAGGTTTTCTGCTGGCTCTCGGATCAGTTTGGGCCTCGTTTCCTTATCTATAAAAGTAGAAAGTCACACTTCCAATCAAGATGGTGGAATAGACAGTCCCCAGCATCACTCTCTCCCATAATCAACCAATTTACATCTATTATAAAGCAATGACAGCCAAGCTGGGGCTGCTAGAGCTCAGTTGAGGTGGAGGAGAGACCTACAAAGTGCATGAATGTGGGAGAAGCCACAATGAGAGAAAGAAGGGACCGCTCTGACTGTTTTGAGCTCTGACCATTTCAAGGCTGGCCCTGGTGAGCACATGGAGCAAGAGCTGACAAAAGCTGCAGCTGTGCCCTTTGGATGAAGTTGCTTGGAGGCTGTAGGGGAGATGAGGGCCTTGGTGGGTCCCAGGTCAGCAAGACCACTAGCAGGGTTCCCGTGGACCCACATAGGAGCAAAGAGCCACAGACAACTGAAAACAGAAGCCACTCAGAGGCCGATGAGTCATTGCAAGGGACTGATGCATGGCCCACTCCATGGGAAGTATTTGGAGTGCAGGCAGTGGGGGAGACGGGCCCACCAGGGAAACACTGGGGCACAGCAAGGACAGCTGATCTGCCCCCG